TCATTTACAAAGAGACCTGTAACAAGTAGTTCCCATCTGTTGTAAGAACAGTGTGGCGTCTTGTAAGAGGTGAGAACATAATGGGCAGTAAATAAAGCCGAGCATGTGCCTCAAGCATCAGTACGTAATTCGTATAAACGATTTATCATAATTTACGCGTACACAAATTGTTTCCATAACATATCAACTCAATTGTCGCATACTTCAAGCAGCTGGAGAATGAAAAGAAGAGATATCTGTCAAATCACCTGTCACAGCGTCTAGAAATTACTATGCGATCTCACTATTGAAATGGGAGCTGGGAAACCGTCGTTCAGTAAATTGATTATAGAATGCAACAGGGAGGAGTAGTGTGTTTTGACCAAGACAGCTTAACGACGGAGCCTTTTGCAATAGAAACTACGCTGCAGGGCTATTGTCAGTATGTACGGTCGTCAGACAGAGCATGACCGGACGTGGTGAAGTGGACTGTAACGACGTGGTGTGACTTCAAAATTGTTTTAATATATTGTACACAACCTCCGTGTAAGTGCAAAGAGTGCCTAAAAATACCTTCTGTGCCACTTCTGTGCTTTATTAGAAGATGATGAAATCTTGCGTATAAAAGTATTTATAACACGTACAATTCCACGTATCATTCTATACTGTAATGAAATTATAAAACGGGAGTAACAAAATGCATATTGTGAGATAATTTGAGATTAGGAAATTTCTTTTACGGGAAGCAAAAACCATATTTTAAGTTTAACTGAGAACAGTCTATTGTGAATTAACTTGAAGCTGACAAACTGTGTGTTTTGGAAATGTAATTGAGAACAACATGCCCTATATTGTAAGCAACAAAACTTAGGGTACCCGTTGGATGTAAATGTAATTCTATATTATAAAATTATTTAAGATTAAGAAAACCTCTGTTACGAGAAACCAAAACTACTAAACTTTCATTTCATTTGAGAACAAACATGATAAGAACATTTTTGTTAGAGAGCAAGTGAAACTTATATGAGAATAACAAACCTCTATTGTTGTTTTCTTTGAGTTAACGAAGGACGCATGCGTTATTAAATATTTGTTTCTTTACTAGATTGAAAGTTCGACTTGCATACATTTTGGACAAGAAAAAACTTCAAAAGTGACCGTTACAATTTTTAATGCGCCTTTAAGAGTGTTGAAATAAATAAACAACATTATGTCGGTTAATTGCTAGAGGTTTGCACCAGTAAGCCTGTTCAGTTGACGTACCTAATCTATTTCAAAATTCCATCGTAAATATCGAACGATTTTTAAGGTAATTTGAAACAGTACTCACAAGAAAGATTGATCCAGCTAAATTATTTAAAACTTAAATAAGTCAGGGTTATTTTACATGCTGTATGCTTCACAATGGGAACATTGTTTACTTGATTAGAGACATAAAATCATAAGCTATATTAATTTTTCCTTAATAAAGGTGTTTTTGTTTAACTTTGTTAACTTATTGTCGCTAAAGTTACTACCGTTATACTCACTGCATAGGCAAAGGAAATATTGTAAGCCTTACTAAACGTGGTGTGTGTGAATGATAAAAATCAAATGTCTTATTCGTTGTTCCAACTGTATCGATAACGAAAAAGGAAGTCCACCTTGAATACAATAAAAAACTCATTCTTACTTATGACTTCAATGACATACATAAACAAGAAAATATTTGGCTCAGGTAATGATTGCTGGGTACGTTAATACTGAGCAATTTGTAATTACACTTTTTCGTCACATCAAAAACAGCAACAAAATAGCAACGAAACGGGAACATTATTAGTGAACATTTTAGAACATTTTTTTCTACTTTAGGAAAAAGTTCTTAGAATTACCTGGATTGGCATTTCTTCACGATTTAGTGGCAATCGCCATAAACTACAAAAACAAAAAAGAATTAGTTAAGCTTATTTCAATTATCATAGAACTATGATAAAAGACAGATGTTTGTATCAAATACCACAGGATCTTGATAAAATATAATCTTTTGTATCAGTTGTTATAGGACTATAATAAAAGACACTTTTTTTGCAGCAACTAATATACGACTATGATAAAAGACAGATGTTTGTATCAAATACCACAGGATCTTGATAAAATATAATCTTTTGTATCAGTTGTTATAGGACTATAATAAAATACACTTTTTTGCAGCAAAAACGACTATGATAAAAGACAGATGTTTGTATCAAATACCACAGGATCT